CCCAGAGATCAGCAGCCCTGGCAGCAACAGCAGTGGAACGGGGGTGGTGATTGTGGAGGTGGCGAGAGAATGGGAGGGGGGGTTAGCAGCTAGCAGGCACTTTTCTAATGCACATGCATCCCGTCCTTCAAACCCAACAGGGTACTGACACCCGTTAATCAATGGCTGGGGCTTCAGAGGCCATTTAATGGCTCACACTGCAGAGATAGAGCCAGAGACTGGCAGAGGTGGGGAAGCCTTTCTGTGCACAAAATGCACTGTCATGCTAATCACCCGTCCCTGCAACACTGAGGGCTTTTATAGAGAAAGTGCTGGGAGGTAAAGGCGAAATTGGAAAGCATTATTTACTATCCCAGATGTGCATGTGTGTGTACGTGTGAGAGTTTCTGTGTAGCTCTTTTTTAATTAAATGTGAACAAATCATTTGAGGGGAAAATTGAATATTTCTGTAATGAGATATTCTGCAGCTCCCCATATATTTTTCATTAGGTGCGAGGCTGCAGCTCAGATTACAGTTGCATTTAGCGCCAGCTGCTTTGCAGAAATGTTCAGATATAATGGGCTACTTGAAGACCAGGGTGAGGGATTATCTTTAACAAGATTACAATAATCTGGTTACAAGAAATGTTAAACGTAATCCATTAATTTGGATTAAAAGAAGACGAATGTCACATAACTTTATAGCTTTATAATGAGTTTCAGATTTCGGTGTTAAATTGTGGGCAGATTGGGAAATTCTGTTCGTTTTCTAAAGGTTCTTAATGATGAATTAGTGTCTATCAGTACAGAAAATTTCATGCCTAGTAATACTGTTGAAATACGGAATGTGTTGACGAAGCATTTCTTCGTTTTAATCATAAAATATAACTGCAGCTATCAAACAGACCTTTAAGGATTTTTCTTATTTTGTGTCATACACAGTCAAGTAAAAAAGAAAGTTCTACACAAGACTCTATGAAGTGAAAAACTAACTACACCCCAACTGCCTTCATAGGAATTAAGATGGTAAGTAGCAGCCAGGTGCTGCTACTGTGAACACCTCAATAAAAGCAAAAGTTGTGTGGTCTGGAGCATTCAGGCTTGTTAGCATAAGGTCACAATCTTTGCCGGAGCAGACATCCCAGCAAATTCCCAGCAAAACCCAGAGTAACATCTCAGACTTTCCAGGCCTCAGTTAGCATGTTAAATGTTAAAGTTCATGACAGTACAATTAGAAAAACGCTGAATGTGTACAGCTTGTTTGAAAAGGCTGCCAGGAAAAAACATCTTGTCTGTAAAAGAACATGGCAGCACAGCTTAGGTTTGAACCCCCCCCACAAGACTTCTGAAAGAATATCTTTTAGACAGAGAAGACCAAAGTGGAGATATGTATAGCACCATTTGTATGTATAGCACCATATTTAGAGAAAGCCAAACACATCATATCAGCACAATGGTCTCATACCAACTATCATGCATGGTGGGGGAGGAGTGATGGAGTTTGTCTTGCAGCCACGGGACATGGGCACCTTGCAACAATTGCATGCCCTCCTCTGTGCTGATGTTTTGCAGACACGTGGCTGCTAACCACATGAGACTAACTTCTGTCACGCAGGCCTTGTGACCAGACCATGACTATCTGGCAACCACATGTTGCTGGGAAAAAAATATGTATTTCCAGCTGGGTGGTAAAATCTGTCTTGGGTTTAGTTGCTAGCATATTGCTGTGGTCATAGTTTGAATGGTAGTGAGTCTTATCTACAAACATCCGGCTGCTCTTCGAGGTGCAGTGAAACTGTGGAGACCATTTGCCTTCAACACATTTTTAAAACACTTTAAAGACAAACCTCCTCACTTTCTGGTCTGTGTTGGGGTTTTTCGAGCTTTGCTATTGCTCGGCTAGTAGTTAGCAAGCATTTGCAGACAATCATGACAAATTACAGGGATATTACAGGCAGCCATGGCAAACTGCTAGCAACCAAGTCAATAAGCAGGAGGTTTTTAGTGCAGCAACTTTTTTTGCAACCAATTTCACCCACCGACAGTCAGAAACCTCAAGAAACCACCGCCAGGAAGTCGGGAAATACATATTTTTCCCTAGCAACCGGTCCTTGTATCACGTCTAGTATGGGTGACGACTCTTGAGCAACGAGCGCATGACGTAACGTGAGAAACTTCAATACCAAAGTATGTGAGGCCATCTGCTCGACAGATAAAGCTTGACTGCAAGTGGGTCATGCATCAGGACAATAGTCCCAAGCACAGCAGCAAATCTGCAACAGCCCAGTCAAACTCCAGACTTTAACCTGTCTGAAATGCTGCAGTGGGACTTTAAGAGAGCAGTGCACGAATAAATGCAAATTCCAAAGATGTGTGACACTAAGAAAGTAATACAAAAAATAACTTGTCTTATTTGCTTGTTCTCAATTTTTCACAGGACTGCTTAGAAAACTGCTGCTGTGAAAACTTCCCTTTTCACATGGCTGCTATAATCTTAGAATAGTTGATGTTCATGATAAAAATATCCAGAGCTTGACATAATGATCTTAGCATGTGTACAAGTAATCGCTGTGAATGAAAGCTCTAATTGCGCCATCTCAGACATTTTTTTCTACTTTTGGATCTGTATGATGTCAGTAAGAGCACATATCCCTTATATGGTCATATCAGAAGCCCCGCCCACCCCCAGTTCTGTTTTGTTTACTAGGAGCTGTCAATCAGAGGCAAGTCTGAAAGTCACCAAGACTCAGTGTGAGATAAGAAATATGAGATTTTGCTCTGTAAATCATGTAAAGCTCTTCATAATAGGCCCCCTTGAATTTTTTATTGCAGATGGTAGTGCACATTAATAATATGGACATGGATTAGTCAAATCTACCACTGTGTGATATATATATGTACATACAAACAGGATATAGCTAATCCGTTTAACTATATAATTTGAAAAAATCAAATCAAAGCCAGTTTTAGTATAAAAATATATATATATAACTTTTGGGGAGATGAAAAGTTCTTTTTTTCCTTGACTATCATATATAATTAATGCAGCACATCCCGTGCTTCGTGTCAGTCTTATGCCAACTATCTTATCCTCTTGCACCCATTCCTTCATTTCGCTCCCTTCACACCCTTGACACTCTGCTGTACAGTATCAATTAAAATAGAGCCCGTTTTACATCCAAATGGCTGCTGAAAAGACTTTGATTTCCGTTTGTGCTTGCGGTGCAGAGATGCAGAAATTCCTCCACGCAGAGAGTGTGAAGAAACAGCCAGCAACAACTCGTTAAAAAGCCCGAGATTTCGTCTTCTTTTTTTGTCCTTTGTGTGTGTGTCTCCTCACAGTTTTGGCTTAGTGCTGCATGCGCTTCACCATAAAGAGGGTAGTTTTCCATTGATGAGCCGGCGCAGGCGGCTTCACCACCACCAGCAGCAGCAACAGCAGCAGCAAGCAACAGCAAATCACTGCTCTGTTAAAAGGCCCTGATGCGTAGCAAACACTCCTGCCAAGCCGCCTCGCTCCAAATCTGCCTGCTTGCAGACCCCCTGTAATTGGAGGCATTAAACTTGCTTTGGACAGGATGGCAAATGAGTGCTTTGAGCTTGGAAGAGAACTGACTGCTGCATTCAGAAGGGCTACAGCAGTAGATGCAGCTAAATCTGACAAATCGCTGCCAATCCAGCAGATCTGAGCGTGAGCGACGCGGGTGTATTTGTAGTGAGCCTGTGTGTTTGTGTGTGTGGTTTTTTTTCATGTCTTCTGTGGGTCCTGTCTTGGCTGGTGTTCTCGTGTGATTATATACATCCAGTATAACGGCCGGGCTGGTGTTAATCTTTCAGTAATCGTTGGGATCGCTGCAGCGACGCAGCGATTTGATGTTGAACCGCAGACGGTCGGGGTTAGTGATGAGCAGCGAGCAGCCTGCGAAATAAAAACCTGCCTGTCATCCTGCCACCGCCCCCCCCCCTCCACAGAGCACGCTCATTAAAATCTCTGTGAGGAAGCGTTTCAGCTGATGGTACAACAAATCCAGATATTTTCCTTTAGGTTTGCTGCCGTCCTGCGTCGTCTATTAGGACCCCGCAGCAGCTCTGCTGTGATTGGAAGGGACGTGAAGGCTGGTTCATAGCGAGCAGCAGGCTGAAGCGGCCTGCAAAAACTGGAAACGCTTCAAAGGTTTTGATGATAAACAGGATGCAAATTCTCACTTTTGACACCGTGTCAGATCTCAGATGTAGCGGTGAAAACCAAGAGACCGTGATTAAAAGCAAGGCCCCCCCCAAATGCAGCTTCCCCCCGACAGACTTCCTCCTCTGCAGGCCCGTGTGCAGAACACTGCTCCCCAAGGTCGGGCATTTCTATTTCTTTGTTTTCCTTTTTTGATGTATCCATAAAAACCCCACCACAAAGCATCTATCTACCTTATCTACCTGAGAATCTGACGCACTCGATAAATGCCACGGGGCTGTGTGTTGACTGCTGTGTGCACATCCTGTGGGAGCTGCAGAGATGATTAGAGAACATGTGGAGAACACGGCAGCAGTCTTCCCTTTGGTGGCTGATCATACAGCAGCAGCCTGAGCTGTGAGTCAGAGATGGTTAAGTATGAACCCCCCGACAGTCGAGCTTCCTCTCAGTCAATAAAAACAGTGGGTGACAGCTTCACTCAACTGCGGCGGTACGCAGGGACCCGGTTTGTGTCCTGGCAGACAGATTAAAGCCAAATAACGCTGACATTTGGTGTGAAGCCAGATTAACTTTGCCTCCTTGAAGCCTCTCCAGCAGCAAAAGAGACTGCAAAATCCCCAGAATAGTCCTGTGGTCTCGCTAATTGGCGAGCTGTGCGGACGGGGCTTTGATTAATCTTAAATCTTAATGAGTTCATCCAAAGCCGCTGTGATATTCCGACGGAGGAGGTAAAACACGATCGCTTCTCGCCTAGTTTCATCCCACGGCTGGATGAGAGGAGACCGGGAACTTCGGCCTAGTGAACCCACGGAGAAATCAAAGAGAATACCAGAGATCCATTTAATAATTTATTTGCATATGATTATCGTAAAAATACTGAAAGAGAAATGCTTATTTTTGTTCTAGTTTTTCTGGCAAATTTTTTTCTTCTTTACAATCTAATACACCTTTACTTGCACAGGAAAAAAAAAAAAAAAGAGTCTGCCCTAACAGACACATTTTCTTTCAGCGTGACATATAGTTTCAGATATTTAATGACCATTTAACTGTAATTTTCCTCTATTTGTCTGCTCCTCAACATTAAACAAACAAGCATATAAACGAGGGTCATAGAGAGGCCAAAGTCAGGTCAGATAGTTGTAAATGCCGAGCAGGTTGGTCTAATACAAATATAGTGTTATATACAGGCAGTCGTTTTAATAGGAAACTGCGCTGAGAGCCGGCGTGCTGGAGAAAACACGTGAGGAGAGATGAACCAGCGAGCGGTCGATTTTACATCCGTGTTTGTAGGTCTGGTCGCTATTAAGGTCACCAAGCTATCATCTGGATAACGACCTTTTAGATTCACACTGACCTGCAACACCAGAGTTTAATGTACAACACAGCATTACCACAGGCGCTTTTAATTTGAGGAAAAAAAAAAAAATCCCAAAATCCAACAACAACCAAAAAAAATGAAAAGACAGGCCCTTGAACATGTCTGCTCAGTGGGTTTAAAGGTAATGTACTCTGTGTGAGCAGAACTATTGATTCCTAATTCACCCATTCACGTCTGTCTGCTTTGTTTATGTCAGAAAACAAGTGATTAAAAAAAAAAAAAAAAGGTAAGTCCAGGTAGGAATCACCTCTTCGCCAGATAATAAGTTAGCATTCAAAACAATGCGTCCGTGAGTCAAACAAGATTAAGAAAAAACGTGGACGTTAAAGCCCATCCAGCAAGATGCCGACAAAGCAACAGTTAAGGAGGACCGTTATTCATCCTTTTCTCGTGAAGACGTTTCCACTTTGGCATGCACATGACGTGTCCCGCACAGTGTCAGCTACGCCTCCCCTCGGACCGAGAGAGAGACGGTGTGAAGACTCGGATGCTTTGTACAGGTTTTGTAACGTCTCCCGTTACACACGGAAGACGGTTTTTAAGAGGAAGCGGATGAAAAGTGTGTTGTCTTTTTTTCTTGTTTCCAGAAAAAAATAAGAATAATAAAATTTGCAAAATGAATGAACATATTTGGTTGGATTTTTTTTTTTTCTTTTAAAAAGAAAAGGAATCGCTGATTGGAGAGATGGTCCACAGCTGTCTTTGAGCTGGTTTTAAGCAAACGATTGCTTTATCTTGGCACTGTTGCGTCATCTGCGTGAAATTGCCCGCCCTGTCCTCAGTCGGAGGGTGAAGAGAAGGAAAAGACTGATTCCCCAACCAGCAGAAAACACATGCAGACATGCAAACACAACCTGAGAGGGAGCAATAAGAAGTCTGGCTTTATGTCAATAGTCACAAATCCACAAGTGTCAAGTAATGAACACACACACTGGAATGGAGAGTTCTCTTTAAACAGACACTGAGTCTCCAGTGGGAAAGAAATCTCCAGAATGGTCCTCTTTCGCTGTGTCGCCGGAGCTTCCATCTTTTTCATTTACTTCTTCTTCTTCTTTTTTTAATTTATTTTACATCAGCTCTTCGTCTCAAGAGTTTTTAGGTAGTTTTTAGTTAGTCCTTCCAGCTCACACCCTGATCGGGAGAGTTTGGCTCATCTGTTGCCGAATGATTTCCTGACTGTTGTCCGGACTCTTCCTGTTGTGTCCCGGCAGCGTTCCTCCCAGCCGCAGCAGGTCCCTGCCAACACAAAGCCACACAGGTCAGCGCCAAGTTCACGGCCACTTTAAACAAAAGGTGCAACTCATTATCGCGCCACTAAGTGCTCTCGCTGAAGGTGGATAAAGGCCTAATCCATCTTGGTGTCAAGCGTAGCTAAATTCTGCAGAGTCTATACACTTAAATCTCCTGGTTATGGACAATGAAAAAATACAGCGCCAGGAGAATGAGCTCAAAATTGCTGATCCGGAGATTCGTCTGCTATAAACAGCATCCAACTCAAATGCCAAGCCTGAATCTATTCATCGCATTTCCAGTTTTAATAAAAGTTCAACACATTTCTCGGCTATCTTGGAAAAAGCCCCGCGAGCCTCCGAGTGTCCTTTGTTCCTCGGCCAGTGTCCTTGTTTTTAAGGCCCTCGTGGCACAAGATACTCCACAGATAGCGCCGCATCTCATATCCTCTCTCTCCCTCCGTTATCTGCCCCGACATCACTGAGCAGCCAATGGCAGGTGAGCAGCAGCGAGCGTTCCGACGGCTCGCGCGCGCACGCGCAAACACGCGAGACGCTCTCTAAATCATGCTCTGACAACATGATCCGTTCCCTCTCCTCCTCTTCCTCCTGCTCCTTCTCCATCTATCTCTAGCTGCTGCATACAGATGAGGCCATAAATTAATCATTGGCATGTCATCGGAACACAACAACAGCACAACATGCATACACACACACACACACACACACACACACACACATTGCCTTCCTATTTGCTCATCACAGCATTGGGTGCACCCTCCCCTGATGCATTAAAAAGCTCATTAGCAACCTAATTAAACACATTCCTCTCTTTTAGCTTCTCCTCAATCTCCCTTATTACTCACACTTCATCACCTCCTGCTTTTCCACATCAGCAGCTCTGGCTGCTGTCTGTCCTATCACCTACATTCCAGCATCCAGCCAAGTATAGGGGGAATTAAACCGAGGTCAGCCATTACATTTCCACACACAATTAGCTTCGCCGAGCCCAAATCCTGGCATAAGACTCGCCCTTGGGGCTCAGTGTTAGAGTGAAACTGTGAGCCAAGAAGCTGGCATCAGACCCGGATCCTCTGCGTACAATTTCTGCCTCATGTGACTCTGAAACAGGGTGCCATCGCCGACGTCAGAGGCAGGGGCTCGAGGACGTGTGCTCGTTTCGTTATGCATCGGTTAAGATGTAGGGATCTGGTACGTCCTAAAAGAAGTACTAATCATTAAAATTCAACAGTGAGAACAAGCTCGAAATCGAAGACGGGCGCCTACGAGTAAGCGAAATCTTTACACGTCCACGGGAAATGTCAGGGAAAAGGAGCAGTCTGCTGTCTGCTCGCAAAGGCCTTCAGCTCAAAGAGGCATCCTCCCAAGTCCCCCAAAAGCATAAAACAAAACCGAAGCCAACAAGCATGAACCCTGTTGTGCCTTTCCTTAGGCCAGCCATAATTTTCTTTACTGTGACATCTCATTCCCACAACCCAGAGGCGCGGCGCTGCTCGTCCCTGCACCAGTCTTCATCCTGCACTTCACAGCCGTCATATGCAATACAGAGGACAATTTCGCACAAGGTGAAAGAGAAGGAATTGCATCACTGCTTCCTTGTGTTTGCACTATTTCTGCTCTTTTTGCAGAAAGACCTCAAAAGCATTTTATGCCTCGGTTATACATCAGGTGCCAAGTCTGCCACAACACAGCTGGTATCATTTCTAATTAGAGTCCATGCTTCTGCATTTACTGTAAACTGGCTGCTGCTGCTGTGACCCGGGAATCCTCAAAACGGACACGAGCTGGATTCTAAACTTGCAGCCCCGAACACTCGTTTAGAACTTCCTGTGCATGGAAACCCACTGATATTTTATTTATTTTTTCTGTAGCAGCTACCAAGAAAAGTAAATTCAGCGAGTTTCTCTGAAGAGTTGCTAAATCTCGCGGCAAACTTGCCAAGGTGGTGACAGTGAAGCGCTTTGCTCTTTCCATAAAGGGCTGAGACGCAACACTTTTCTAAAAGCAACACTCTCCATCCACTTTGCAACTTCTCTTCATCTACTTTAACATTAACTTCAACTTCAACATTGATCTTTAGCTAGAAAAAGAGAAAACTGTCTCAAAGTGCTCGCTGGGTGGTGGGGAAGTGTCTGAAACCTCCAGCCTTCCAACAAGGTAATCACAGTGTGTGATTATAACAGATCTATGACATCTCTGGATGGAAGAGAAAATTTAACCGAACTTACTTGTCTTCCTATAACCGACGGAAAAACCATACTGAAATCAGCCTGACTCTGACATGTCACATGGACATCTACTTTAAATTTATCCTGCATATACAGTTAGATTTGAAGAGCAAACTTTCAGATTTAATTCAAGAGGTTTTTACTAAATATTTGAATGAACTGTTCAGGAATTGCAGCCATTTTTATACACAGCCCCACATTTTTAATTGGACGTTTGACTGGCAATCAGTTTTAATAGGCGGGTGAGACCAGTTCCCTCCTTGTTATTTCACGGTAAATGAAGAAAACATAATAATAATAATAATAAACAAAATTCATTAAGAGGGAAGAGAGGGAAGCCATCAGTTCACTGAAGAACAATCTGGTACTTTCTTAAAAAGAAAAGAAGAGACTGGTCAGCTCAGCAAGACCAAAAGTGAACTAAAGCGGATGATCGCAGAGTTATTTACATGGTTAACAGAAATATCTTCAAAACATCTAAACAAATCAAAAAGAACTAGTTGTTTCAATCTAGTTATTTCAATCACTATAGAGGATTTACAAAGTGCAAACCACTGGTTACACTCAAGAAACAAGAAGGCCAGATTAAACTTTGTAAGGGAAAAATCTAAAACAACCTGCACAGTTCTGAAAAAAAAAATCTTTGGACAAATCAAACCAAGATGAATTGACTGTTTGCCTTAATATATTCCACTGCAACAAATCACGGCCCTAACTGTAGACTCACCCTGAGTAGGTGCTGGTCACCACCTTGAGGCTTGCGGCGTTGCGAAGCAGCTTGTCCAAAGTGCTGACGATTCGGGAGAATTTGGGCCTCAGGTTTCTCTCCTTCATCCAGCACTCCAACATCAGCTGGTGCAGCACCATGGGACAGTCCATGGGTGGGGGCAGCCGGTAGTCCTGCTCTACTGCTGTCATCACCTGAAGGCAAAGGAAGTCAATCTTAACAACAGGCTTGTCCACACAGGGAGTGTTTCACTTGTTGTGCATCACTTTGAAGCTGACAGTTTACTCCTGACTGATGAATGGTAATCCTCTCATTTATTTACAATATCCAGTATGCTGCACTGTCATTGGTAGTCGCTTCGATCACTCAGCTCTAAGTTGAGAAAAGTTTATACTGGAATTGTCTGTCTAAGTCTGGCACTTAAATAATTTTAACCGTGCACGTAACTTAATGGTCACAAAAATTTGTATCTGTAAATCTGTAAATCTCTAAATACTGAATGAAGCTAAAAGCAATAATATAAAAGCAATAATATAGTATATTTGATGTCAACACTGACAAGGGTTTTATTACAAGTGTAAGATGGTGTAAAAAACTAAGGTGTAAACATGTTTCATCCTCAGTGCTTGCCAAGCTGTCTCCAAGGTAAGAGAAATGTGACCATCAACCAGTTTTCAGCCAGTGGGAGGGCACACCGACATCGCTAAAGTTAGCTAGCTAGTTAGTGCCAACGCAAGCTAGCTAACATTGGTTTGTTTTTGTCAGGTATTAATATTATACTTGTGGCATGATTTGATGTTTGTGGATGCTGAAGTATCTTGATGAAGTCTTTGATGTAAAAAAGGGTCGGAGGCTTGACGAGTTGTAAAGTTCTGCAAAATGAAGCAGCTAATGTTGATAATGGTCATTAGCTGCAATCGCCATTTTCAACAAGCGCATTACGAGCCGTCTTTGGATTTGAAACAACACTACCCTGTTCACGTACTATGCAAAAAGTACTTTGTACTATGCAGAAGTGTACTACAAGAGATAACTGAAAGAATACACCATAATAATGTTTAAAATGTTTAGGCTGTTAGCATTTTAAGAGGAGAATACCATTTGTTTTGCAAGTTTTTGATCATTTGCTAAAGAAATCTGAAACTTGTTTCAGCTATTACTCTTCATCCTTTGTATACTTGTAAGAAATTTTAATGGAAACCTATCTTAGAGTTTTCAGAGATGATTGCATTAAGGGATAAAGTTGAGGGGTCTCTGAAATCATTAAATTTCATCCTTTGAAGACAAAGAACACCGATATATTTGGACACATTTTATGGCAAGCTTTCTGATAATTGTAAACCTGTCTCACTCTGAGCACAGAGGTCCACAATCATTTCCGCCACAAACACATTCAAATGAAGATTAAATTTGAAATTTGCTATGCTAAATAAATATCAACCCAGAAGACTGTGCATAAGGATTTAGGCAAATTTCATGTGGCGCCTCTACAGAGTGTTACCATTTGGCTCTGAATCATTCGTATTATGCTCATTTTGTTTGGCCTTTGTTGTTTTGGTGTGAGAATAATCGGCAGTTCCTGTATTATCTCCTGCATTAGACAGTTCCTCAGCTCGTGCTGTCACGCATTCCAATCTTTCTTTCAGCGTCTTAACAAAACTATAAAAACAATATTCTCAAATTTGTCACTTCAGAACTGGCATGATTGATGGGAGAAACAATAAACTGGAGGAAGAACACGTCGGCTCACGGATGCAAGTTCGCCTAGCAACTGCATTTGCCTCCGTAAGCTGCGTATGGGTTTTAACTCCCCACAACAATAAAAAAATGTCATTTGGGAACAATAAAACATTTCTGGAGCGCTTCTCGTCTCCCGCTGCTTGTTCCTTGATTTTTATGTCGTGCTTCTAGTCTGCGAGTACTTCTGTTTATATCTCGTATTTGTTGACTCTGTTGCTTATTGAGCGATGACTGTGGCACAAAGGCTATTGGGAACAATAGTGGGCTTCTACTTTGATGCTTTCATTACTGCATGTGGGTTCTGTTGTGAAAGTTATACATACATTACTGCCATTTTTCATTTCTGATCCTTTTTTTTCTCCTTTGCTTTATTGGTATCAGCGTTATAAGTCGCTTTTTTGAAGCTCAGTACAGAGCAGATATTCCTCAGAGACTGAAGTGGAGGTGTACACATTGCTTCAGTACTTTGTTCAAGGAGGAGGAACCAAGAGATTTATTTTTTCTTTCCTTCAAGCTCACTGCTGCAGTTACAATGTCTGTGCAGTGCAGATAGCCTACAGGTACCAACGCACGTAAAGAAGAAGGAGAGAAAAAGCCAATCCTGAGTATGCCTTTGTGAGTGTGAGGAGGGAGGCTTTGCAGTATGGATTTGTAGGGGGGTGGGAAGGCCAGGGCCGTAAATAAGGTGGTAAAAACTAGAACATAGGCACGCAGCTGCAACCAGCATCTGCAGTGAGGAGATAAAGACAGCAGAACAGGCTCGAGTCCAACATGTCACGCTGGAAATCAAAGCCACAGCAGCCCGGAGAAACTCTCAGCCGGCCCTAAACTTAGACATGAAACTCCTTCCATGAGCTTTCAGGCTATAGATATACGTTTTCTCGTGAGACTCTTGTGCTGACTTACATCCTGGTTGCTCATGTCCCAGTATGGCCGCTCTCCATAGGAGACCACCTCCCACATGACGATGCCGTAGCTCCATACGTCACTGGCAGAGGTGAACTTCCTGAAGGCAATGGCCTCTGGTGCTGTCCACCGAATGGGAATCTTACCGCCCTGCACACACAGACAGGGGGGGATGGTATCAGCACTCTGAGAGATACTCCAATCCTATAAGCGCAGGCACAAGCAGCAGCACACAAATGCAAAAAAAAACAAACAGCAAATGCAAATTTCACAGATGGTGTCGCGCACCAACGTAAATATTGGCACACGTGAACAGTCACACATGCATTTATGTGTACATGTGAAACAAGTGAGGGGGGGATCGAATTAAGACGCCCAATTAAACAAGCACAGCGTACACAAACGCACAGCGGCGCACACATTCACGCGTATTTCACCAACCAGAGAGCTTGTGTAAGTTGGGTCAGCGGAGGTGTCGTCCAGAAAGCGCGACAGGCCAAAGTCGGAGACCTTGCAGACCAAGTTGCTGTTGACCAGGATATTTCGGGCGGCGAGGTCTCGGTGAACATAGTTCATGTCTGACAGGTACTTCATGCCTGCAGCGATGCCGCGCAGCATCCCGACCAGCTGTGTCATTGTGAAGCGCCCGTCGTTCAGCTGCAAGCGAGGAAAAAAAAAAACCCCACACATACACACAGTCAGAGATAGAGCGGGAGAAGCGGGGAGGGTGCAGCAGAGGAGGCGGTTAATGAACAGGGAGTGGAAAATGAGAAAGAGAAAAGATGTGTTGAAACAGACGATAGGGGCGAGTACGGGAGATAAGAGGAGAACCAGAGGCAGGAGATCAGTCACCGAGGCCACGTAAACATGACATCTGTCATAGTGCTTCATGGCTCCTGCTGACAGTCACTGACAGCTGACCTTTTCATGCATGCTGTCCAATTAGCTGATTAATTAGAGTCTTTACTGTCGTACTAAAGCTGGTATGGCTCGCCATTGACTCAACAAAACAATATAATAATGGGAGCCAAAACACTGCAATCGAAACCAGACCACTGCAGGTATTTTCCCCTCATTCACTGACTGACAAACTAGTAGCAGTTAAAGGCTGAACATGGCTTTGCTTCTTCTTCCTGTGGACATGAGAATAAAATCAGCCTGTCAACAAAATCACTATGTCATGTTGCTCAAAGATCATTTGTAAAAATGGCAAAGTCTTCGAGAAGCAGAGATTTGCCCTCTCGTGCAACATTTGAGAAGCATGAAAGTAATCTTAGACGAGGGCTTTCAGGGTTTAATTTACAATTCTCCGCATTTGTGACGCGTGTCACATACTCGAGATCGCAATATATCAGTGCTCCTGACTCGCGAGGGCGCGTGTACCCTGATGTGTGGGAGCTGAACTAAAACTAATCAATTAAACTGTTAAAAAATGATCTGAAATTTCTGCAAAATTGAACGAAGCTACGGTGGGAGGTTTTCTCTCATGACCTGAATATCTAATCCGAGCGAAGGGAGTCGCAGGGGTGGGGAAAATAAGATTTTTTTTCCCAACATAATCAATTCCTTCTTTGGCTCTGCGATGAGAAAGCAAAGAACACAGGACGTGCCATCGCAAACCCATAAACATCCTGCCTTGTAGTCTGCACACTCCAATGAAGTCTGACAGGCAAACAAGCCGGGATGGATGGATGTGTAAACAGCCGTGATTCATAGCAGGCCTTCAAAGCCACGGTGGCATGACTGCATGTGTGTTATTTCTGTGTTTCTATAAAGTTTTCTACATGTGCATATGTCCACATGTCCGGGGGGAGTCTGAAGCTCCACTGCGGGTGACACGCTTGGACAGTTTGTGCATGTGTGCGTGCACGTGCACGTGTGTGTGTGCATTAACTCAATAGTTTCCTTGTTAGAGCAGGACTCTGAGTTCCTCTGAGTCACAGGCAGTGTGACATTGGCGGGAGAGCGGGGGTGAGGAGAGCACAGAGCAGGCACTTTTTCTGTTATCTGTAGGACAGCTGGCTGAGAAGAGTGGGTGAGAAGGAGGGGAAAAAAAAAGCTCAGGCTGCACTATCAGATGTGGAGCTGCAAATAATGAGTGTTGGCGTTATCAGTTCATTATTTATAAATTGAAAATTAACTTGAAAATTGTGAAAGTGTCCAAAATGCTTAGAAAGGAGACGGCGAGTCGACTTGATGATTGACAAACGAATAAAAATGACGAAATACAATAAAAACATATATCCTAAAACCCAAAGATTGATACATAAAAACATCTGAAATTGTCCGCAGTAATGATACAGATGATTACTTGATAACTAAGATAAGAACCAACAAATGTTATTTTAACTGAGCAACTGAGAGAAAGAAAAGAAATCAGAGCCTTTAATTATGAAAAAAAAAGACTGTAAAGAACAGGTTTAGTAAATCTCCAAAAAGCTGATTCTGTTCATCTGGACGTAGCGTTTTGTGGGAGAAATGTTTCGTCACTCACCCGAGTGACTTCTTCAGTCTCAGCTGACTGCAGGTTTCCCCAAATCTTATAAACAGCCCGCTGAGGAACAATGGGCTGGGAGGTCAGTTCCTTAATTCCCCAACTCTCTGTGAATGGTACTCATGGCCATTGATCCATTGGTCAGTGGTCTTTGATCAGTGCGTTTTGGTCAGTGGTTGTTGATCAAAGGTCATGAGAATTTGCATAATTAAGATTAAGGAACTGACCTCCCAGCCCATTGTTCCTTCAGTGGGCTGGTTTCAGTCATTATGCAAATGTACTGTTTAT